TTAATGCAGACTTATAAACATAATGCTAAACAAACAAATTGCGTGTACATAGCGCGCGCTTTGTTGTAGTCTTCTTTGGATTGATAAAAGAATCAAATTGCATGTATATTAAAGTAAATAATTTAACAGCGAAAGTCGGTAACTAATTTTACAATAATGTTATTATATTATTACTTTACCTGAAATATAATACCTGTAGATAGAATAACAAGGAAGAACACAAACTGTAAGTGAGTAAATTTGGATTGCTGATAGGGCCATAAACCGATAGCAAGCAACAGGATTCTATTGAGAATATAATATTGTTTTTCTAGTCGTATCATTTTTCTACGAGCATTTAAATGTTACTACGAAGACTAAAGACATCGTGCGTTTATGCTTCCTTTTCTTATTGATTTATTAAATATTTTGTATCTTATTTCTTCTGGTAAATTTCAATGCAAATTTCCTAATTTATAATGATTGATTATGTAAAAATTTGCTGTGAGATCTTGATGCATTCAATTCAACCAATTTCTTAACAAAATATGAATATTTATGTAATCAATCTATCATTAAAGGTAACTTAACAGATGTTCTTTTTCATGAAATTGAACTATGGAAAAGCCGCGCAGGCGCATTTTCACCCTCTTTACGTCGATACTTCATTCTAGTCCACGCACTCACAGGATACACTTCGTCTTCGAAAGAAACGGCTTTAAGTTTAATCTATTCAGTGACGAGTCTGTCTAGTAAAGTTCATAATTTAAAAATAATTGCTCAACATCTGATACTATTAATTTCTTAAATTACAATCGATGTAATTAATATTTTTAGCAAATGTTAAATACTGATGTGTCAACTTTTGTGTTTATAATTTAACCATTTATTCTATTGGTAATATTCTTTTTTTTATTTCTTAATTTTTTAATTATATGTTATTTATTAATGAAAACTTTTAATTTGTATATTTAACTTTTGATATATGAAATAATTTAACTAATTACAAGTAATATTTAAATAATATTCTATTAGTAATTTGTATAATTTTAATTTTCTCTATAAAAGGGAAATATCTCTCTACATTCTATGTTGAAAAAATAAATTTATTATTAAGCTCATGTGAATACTGTAACTATTGTTACTTCATTAACTATATCTTCACTATGATAATAATAAATTCGTTTGTCAAATTTTTTGTCACTTTGTAGAATATATGACAGTAAAATAAGATATCGAGGCCTTTATTAGCTGCAAATATACATACTCTTATATTATATATAATGTGCGTAAGGTGGCATTATTAAAATAATCTACATTATATTACCGTGGCAAAACACTCCATGGATGCATCAAATATTCCACCGACACTTAAAGTAAATTTCTTAGTTTCTCTTTGCAACAAAAATAGTATTATTTTTTGTATATTTAAAGGGGTTCTATACCACTTAATGTTGTACCTATGGAATTGAACAGACTGCTAATTTGTGATAGAAATTTTTTAATCAAATAATTTTGTTACATATACTGATTTGTATTGCAACAGATTATTTTCTATATTTCCATTGATGCATCCGCTGAAAAAAAGGATGTTCGTATTATCTCTTTAAGAATATTTCTCTTACGCAGTAATGTACACGTGATTATTGTAGTCGATTATATTCTGTCCGATATAATTAGCTAGAAACATGTATACCAGGCTTACAGTCATGTACAAAAATGGCAGAAAAAATTTGGTGAAATTATTTTCAGATGATGCTATCTGAAAAAGCTGAGAAACAAACCGCATGAAAATGTTTTGCGTGTATACATACGTTCGAACTATCAGTATATGAATAACACATGCACAAATTTTGATAATTCTTACAGCTAAAATTAGTAATTTAGAAATACGTAATAGTTACAAAGCATGTTAAATATTTACTAAACACAATATTAATACGTTCTATTTTTATATGAATAAATAGAGTAAAGACGAACTTAATAAATTTGCCTGTAACAAAAATTTATGCAAAAAAATCATAATTTTTTTTCACATATAAGCAAGTCAGGTATTTTATATACAACAACGTAATAACAATCGATAATTATGCATACTAATAAAAAAATTTATATTTAAAAATAATTAAAAAAGTATTTGTATAAAAATCTGCAATTACTCATACTCGATAGGTTTACATATACACAATTTAATGTCTAGTAAAAGTTCACTATTCAGAATTTAACAATAATTATATATAAATGTTCCCTTTCATAACCGGAACATCATTACTGGTTATAAATTTTACACAAAATTCAGTTATTTTATTGCCTAATATTTTACTTATAGAAAAATTACTTTATTAAATGAACAGTTTTAGGAAAACTATATCTTGCTTATACCTTTGCTATACACAATACATAAATATATAACTAATATATAAATAATACATATGTATATACATTTATACACACGCACGCGCGCGCGTGTTTTTGTTATATGAAACCGGTTACTTACTTGAAACATATTGAGAGTAAAGCAAATTACTATACACAACGTGAAACAAAATATGAACTTCTCGAGTGTGGACACTAACTGCTTGCATAATCTTCAAAAAGAATAAAGATATCATTAATGTATTGCACGAACATTGTTGCCGTAGATACAAACTTTATGGCTTGACGATGAATATCAATGGCACAAATTATGTTCTCGGTCATAAAAATTTTATTTTTTAACGTAATATTCTGTAGAATATTAATGTTTATTGAATGCTCCATACGATAACTGTAAATGTTCGTAGTTATATAGCAATTTGTCAAATGACACAATTTTTTAGCTAAAAATAAACTACTACAAAATTTTTTTAGTACTATGTTGTATAGAGATAACAAATTTTATACGGTCTCAATTACCGAATTGGTACAGAAATTTCATATCTGTACCAATCTACGTTTTTATTCCTACCTAGCAATTCTAAACAGTCCACGGGCATGTTGAAGATATGTAATGAGTATTGTTCCTGTTGCTAACAATATAGTCATTCCTACAGATAATACTATATACATATGCAACAGAATCAAGTAAAAATACTTTTCTTGAACAAAGTACTTTATAATGAGTAAATAATGTGAT